GCAGCTGCAAGACTGGTACGGTCGCGTCAGGGTCGCGCTGCTGGAGCCCGGGGCTCTGCTGCTGGAGTTACTTCTGCTGACGTCCCTGGAGCTAGGAGTGGTGCTGGTCCTTTGTCTACTGGAGGTGCTGGAGTCGCTGGCTCCGAAGGTGCTCGTACTGGAGGTACTGGAGCTGCTGGGGCTGGGGGTGCTGCGTCTGGAGGTGCTGCTGCTGGAGACACTGAGACTGGAGACCCTGGGACTGGAGGTGCTGGTTCTGGGGGTGCTGCTGCTGGAGACACTGAGGTTGGAGACCCTGGGACTGGAGGTGTCGGTTCTGGGACTGGAGCTTCTAAAGCTGCTGGAGGTGCTGGAGCTGCTGGAGGTACTGGAGCTGCTGGAGCTGCCGGTACTGGTACAGCTGCGCCGACACGCCTGTTCTTCGCTCCGCCGTCTCCATCGTCTCTGCCGCCGTCTGACTCTGTTCTTCGTCAGGTTCTTATTCTCCCGTCGTCTACTGGTCTTCCGTTACAGCCTGGCTCACCGCTACCTGCTCCTTCTCCCTACACTGAGCAGACTGGTAGTCCTGCTGAGCGTCGTGAGCCTCCGTCACGTCCTGTCTCGCCTGTTCGTCCTAGTCGTACCGGTCGTTGTGTTCCTCGGTCGCGTCAGCCGGCTGTCCCCTGCGCACACCTCATAGTCCGTCGTCCTTCCTCTGCTCCGCAGCCTGTTCCTCTGCCGTCTCCTCCTGCGCCCTCTTTGCCTGACGTTCCGGACCCTGCGTCTGACCGGTTTCGTGCTGAGCAACCTACTGTCACGCGTCTGCTAGACACTGTTGTCACTGACCCGTCGTTTGAGTCTACTGCTGCGTCTGCTCTTGTCGCTGAGCTTGTTAACTTTGCTGCTGCCTGTCGTCTAGACTTCGCTGCCAGTCTTGTTGCTGAGTCTGAGTCCGTCTGTCCTCCGTCCGTCGAGGGTGATTGTGCTCTTAGCACGGACGTCCTTGAGAAAAGGCACGAGGACCTTGAGTGTCTTGCAGCCGCTGTGCCTCATCTCATGGCCATGCTGCTTGCCCCTGAGGGAGACCCGGATGCACCAGACATCCCGACCCCGCGCTCTTACGCTGAGGCGATCGCGGGTGAGTACTCCTCTCAGTGGCAGACAGCCATGGACGCAGAGATGGCATCCTGGAAGTCCACAGGCACTTACGTCGATAAGGTTCCCCCTCCTGGGGCGAACATCGTCGATGGCATGTGGATTTTCAGGGTGAAGCGGCCGCCGGGTTCTCCGCCTGTCTTCAAGGCTCGTTACGTTGCTAGAGGCTTCAGTCAGCGAGAGGGAGTTGACTTCTTCCAGACCTTCTCCCCCACCCCGAAGATGACTACTCTTCGGGTGCTGCTGCACGTTGCCGCTCAGCGTGACTACGAGCTTCACTCTCTTGTCTTCAGCACAACTTTTTTACAGGGCAGCCTGCACGAGGAGATCTGGCTGCGCCGCCCACCTGGCTTCACTGGGTCGTTCCCTCCTGGTACCCAGTGGAGCCTCTGGCGACTAGTCTACGGTCTCCGCTAGGCACCACGTGAGTGGCACGACACACTGAGGACGACACTGGCGGCTCTTGGGTTTGCTCCTTCGACAGCTGACCCGTCGCTGTTCCTGCGCACCAACACTTCGCTGCCACCGTTCTACATCCTCGTGTACGTTGAAGACTTGGTCTTTGCCACTGCTGACACTGAGGCTCTCGCCTTGGTGAAGTCGGAGCTGCAGAAGAGACACACGTGCACAGACCTGGGTGTGCTGCGCAGTTACCTTGGCTTGCAGATCACCCGGGACAGAGCACGCCGCACCATCACACTGACTCAGTCACACATGGTGCAGCAGGTACTTCAGCGCTTCGGCTTCACCTGGTCCTCGCCACAGCACACTCCTCTGGCTACAGGTCACTCGCTCTCAGCTCCACCTTCAGACGAGTCCGTAGAGCCGAGTGGGCCTTACCCAGAGCTAGTGGGCTGCCTCATGTACCTGATGACCTGCACTCGTTTTGACCTTGCGTACCCTCTTGGCCTTCTCGCTCGCTACGTGGCTCCTGGTAGGCACCGACCAGAGCACATGGCTGCTGCTAAGAGGGTACTGCGCTACTTGTGCAGTACATCGGGCATGGGGCTCGTGCTTGGAGGACGGAGTGAGGTGGTCCTCACGGGGCACTCAGACGCGTCTTGGGTTGACGACCAGACTACACAGCGGTCGTCACAGGGTTACACCTTCAGCCTTGGCTCTGGCTCAGTTTCTTGGCGGTCTATACGCTCGTCTTCTGTTCTCAGCTCCAGTTGTGAGGCTGAGATCTACGCCACCGCCATGGCTGCGCAGGAGCTACGCTGGCTCACCTACCTGCTGACTGACTTGGGTGAGCGGCCTCGTTCTCCTCGAGTGCTGTACGTTGACAACAAGGCGGCCATTGCCTTGTGTGAGGAGCACAGAGTGGAGCACAGAACGAAGCACATTGCTCTGCGTTACTTCCTGGCTCGAGAGTTGCAGCAGCGAGGTCAGCTTCGTCTTCGCCACGTGGCCACTCGGGCCAACACTGCTGATATATTCAACAAGGCACTTCCGTCTGGTAATCATCAGCGCTGTTGTACTCTGTTGGGCCTTGTGCCTACGTTTCCACACTTGCTGTAGTCTCTGCTTGTACTGTGATCTATATATATACCTGCATGCTGGCTCTTGCTAGGTAGCCATCACTGTACTGTTATTGCTGCATATGTCAGAAATAACTGAGCAGGAATGAATGAACTAGAACAGAGTTTGGTACAAGTAGGAAACCCTAACTTTGTGTACCCCCTAAGGTGTAACCCACTACAGCCTAGACAATATAAACATGCAATGTTTGACACACCCCCATAGGCGCAGTGGGAAACAACCACAGGGTCACAAGACCAGTCAAAGCAAAGCAAAGCAAGCTCAGGGTGGATCTCAAGGATTCCACACAAATTCCGAGCACAAGCAAGCGGTCACAAGACCAGTTCACATGCAGGTTTATAACAAAGTAAGAGATACAGTGATCACAACCTAGCAAAAGTAAGCAAGAAGGCATATATATATAGTGATCACAGTACAAGTAAGGTCAAGAGGTAAGCAAGTGAGGCCCAGTAGGTACAAGGCCTAGCAGAGTGCAAAAGCGCTGATGGTCACAAGGCTGAAGCGCCTTGGTGAACACATCAGCAGTGTTGGCCTCCGTGGCCACGTAACGCAGACAAAGCTGACCACGCTGCTGCAGCTCTCGAGCAAGGAAGTACCGCAGAGCGATGTGCTTCGTTCTGTGCTCCAGTCTGTGCTCCTCACACAAGGCAATGGCAGCCTTGTTGTTGACGTACAGCACTGGAGGAGAACGAGGCCGCTCTCCGAGGTCGGTCAGCAGGTAGGTCAGCCAGCGTAGCTCCTGAGCAGCCATGGCTGTGGCGTAGATCTCAGCCTCACAACTGGAGCTGAGAACAGAAGAAGAGCGAGTAGAACGCCAAGAAACTGAGCCAGAGCCAAGGCTGAAGGTGTAACCCTGGGACGACCGCTGAGTAGCCTGGTCGTCTGCCCAAGAAGCGTCTGAGTGCCCTGTGAGAACAACCCGGTCTCGCCCTCCAAGCACAAGCCCCATGCCCGACGTACTGCACAAGTAGCGCAACACCCTCTTAGCAGCATCCATGTGCTCCTTCCGGTGACGGCCAGGAGCGACATAGCGTGCTAGGATGCTAAGAGGGTATGCAAGGTCAGGTCGAGTGCAGGTCATCAGGTACATGAGGCAGCCCACAAGCTCTGGATACGGGCCACTCGGCTCTACGGACTCATCCGAAGGCAGAGCTGAGAGCGAGTGACCGGTAGGCAGAGGAGTGGACTGAGGCGAGGAGTACGTGAAGCGGAAGCGCTGGAGGACCTGCTGCACCATGTGTGACTGAGTCAGGGTGATGGTGCGCCGTGCTCTGTCCCGGGTGATCCGCAAGCCAAGATAGCTCGTCAGCTCACCCAGGTCTGTGCACGTGTGTCTCCTCTGCAGCTCCGACTTCACGTGAGCGAGTGCCGCGGTGTCAGCAGTAGCAAAGACCAAGTCGTCGACGTACACGAGGATGTAGAACGGCGGCAGCGAGGTGTCGGTGCGTAGAAACAGCGACGGGTCAGCAGTAGAGGGAGCGAACCCAAGAGCCGCAAGTGTCGTCCTCAGTGTGTCGTGCCACTCACGTGGCGCCTGGCGGAGACCGTAGACCGGCCGCTGAAGCCTCCACTGGGTGCCAGGAGGAAATGACCCAGTGAAGCCAGGGGGGCGGCGCAGCCAGATCTCCTCGTGCAGGCTGCCCTGCAAGAAAGCAGTGCTGAAGTCAAGAGAGTGAAGCTCGTAGTCGCGGTGAGCGGCTATATGCAGCAGCACCCGAAGAGTAGTCATCTTCGGGGTGGGGGAGAAGGTCTGAAAGAAGTCTACTCCCTCTCGCTGACTGAAGCCTCGAGCCACGTAGCGCGCCTTGAAGACAGGTGGAGAACCCGGAGGCCGCTTCACCCTGAAAATCCACATGCCACTGACGATGTTCGCCCCAGGAGGGGGAACCTCGTCTACGTAGGTGCCTGTGGACTTCCAGGAGGCCATCTCTGCGTCCATGGCTGTCTGCCACTGAGAGGAGTAGGGACCCGCCATCGCCTCAGCGTAAGAGCGTGGGGTCGGGATGTCTGGTGCATCCGGGTCTCCCTCAGGGGCAACTAGCAAGGACACGAGACGGGGCAAAGCAGCAGCAAGGCAGTGGAACTCCTCCTGTCTGTCCTCAAGGACGTCCGTGCCGAGGGCACACTCACCCCCGACGGACGGAGGACAGGCAGACGCAGACTCAGACCTAGCGACAAGGCTGGCAGCGTAGTCTAGGCGACAGCGAGCAGCAAAGTCAACCAACTCAGCGACCAGGGCAGACGCAGCAGAGGACTCAAAGGTCGGGTCAGTGACAACTGTAGCGAGGAGACGCGTAACAGTGGGACTGGCAGCACGACGGGAGTCAGACTCCGGGTCAGGAAGAGTAGGAAGAGAGGACGCAGGAGGAGACGGCAGCGGGACACGCTGCGGAGCAGTGGAGGGACGCAGAGTCATGTAGTGAGTGCCAGGGACAGGAGGAGGACGCTCACGTGGGACACGACGGCCAGTGCGAGCAGTACGAACAGGCGACGCAGGACGAGACTCAGGCTCACGACGCTCTGTAAGACCTCCTGTGGGACCAGCGTAAGGGGAGGGAGCAGGGAGAGGCGAGACAGGCGGTAACTGTGACTGCGGCTGGACAGGCAGAGGACACTCGACGGAGGGAGGAGGACAAGGAGGAGGAGCCTGACCAAGAACCTGCTGAAGGAGCGGTACGAAGTACGGTCGCGGCCGCGCAGCGTCTCCAGAAGCAGCAGGGACACCAGTGGCAGCCCCAACGCCCGAGTCCTCAGCACCAGCAGCAGCTCCAACGCCCGAGTCCTCAGCACCAGCAGCAGCACCACCGGTCGGGTCCTCAGCACCAGCAGCAGCTCCAACGCCCGGGTCCTCAACACCAGCAGCAGGGCCACTGGTCAGGTCCTCAGCACCAGCAGCAGCGCCACCGGTCGGGTCCTCAGCACCAGCAGCAGCTCCAACGCCCGGGTCCTCAGCACCAGCAGCAGCTCCAGCCCCCGGGTCCTCAGCACCAGCAGCAGCTCCAGCGTCCGGGTCCTCAGCACCAGCAACAGCACCACCGCTCGGGTCCGCAGTACCAGGAGCACCACTACGAAGACTGCAGCGCCGCGTGTACCACTCGCGGATCACCTGAATGGGGGGGAGCTCCTGGGTAGGAGGGGAAGTACCGGGACGAGCTCCAGAAGCACCTCTCCGGAGGCGGCAGTACTCGAGGTACCTCTCCTGCAGCTGCTGGGAGGAGGGGTCTCCTCCAGGTGGAGCACGCTCAGGCTCAGCACCCCCAGACTCAGCACCCCCAGACTCAGCACGTCCAGACTCAGCACCTCCAGGCTCCGCACCTCCAGGCTCCGCACCTCCAGGCTCAGCACCCCCAGGCTCCACACCTCCAGGCTCAGTACCTCCAGGCTCCGCACCTCCAGGCTCCGCACCTCCAGGCTCAGCACCCCCAGGCTCCGAACCTCCAGGCTCAGCACCCCCAGGCTCCACACCTCCAGGCTCAGTACCTCCAGGCTCCGCACCTCCAGGCTCCGCACCTCCAGGCTCAGCACCCCCAGGCTCCGCACCTCCAGGCTCAGCACCCCCAGGCTCCGCACCCTCAAACGCAGCACTCCCAGGCTCAGCACCCCCAGACGCAGGACGCGAGTCAACAGCTACCTCGACAGGCTCACCCGGGTCTACCTGGGACACACCTGAGGGAGCGGCACCCTGAGGGGGGAGGGGGTCTGGTACCTCAGCACCTGGAGCGAGGAAGAGAGGTGGGGGGGGGAGCGGGGCAGTGCGGTAGGGGAAGAGGCGGTAGAAGGGGACGGACTCGTCAAAAGTGACGTCCTGAGAGGCCAGAACCCGGCGCGAGGTGACGTGGTAAAACTGCCATCCAGGCGCGTCGGGAACAAAGCCAAGAAAGACACAGGGAACAGTGCGACGCGAGAGCTTGTCCGCGGACGTGTCGCGGACAAAAGCTCGAGATCCCCAGACCCGGAAACGCGACGCATCGCCAACCTCTCCCGTCCACCGTAGAGTCGGGGAAGTCTCCGGCAAGGAGACACGGGGCCAGAGGTTGAGCTGATGCGCTGCGTACCGGACCGCAAACGGCCACAGAAAGTGGGGAGCAGCCGCATGGGTCAGGGAGGTACGAGCGACCTCCATGACTAAGCCAATGCGGCGCTCAGCAACCCCATTCTGCTGTGGAGAGGCCGGAAGCGTGTACGACTGCTCAATGCCGTGCTCAGCACAGTAGGCTGCCAAGAGGTCGGAGGCGAACTCACCACCCCTGTCAGAGTGCAAGCGCAGGACAGGAAAGTCCGAGTGAAAGCGCTCGCCTAGCTGGAGACGGGCTCGGCTGATCCAGGGGATCAAAACACCAGGGACGTCACCCTTGGCGCGCAAGGGGAAGACCGTGGTGTAGCGCGAGTAGTCGTCAACAACTATCAGGAAGTACCTCTCCTGACCCTGACCACGGACGCGGGCCGGGCCCCACACGTCCATGTGGAGCGTCTGCAGGGGAGCGGTCGTCGGGGGAAAGGAGGAGGAGTGAGGAGCGGCGCGCTGCCGCCCCTCGACACAGGGAATGCAGTCAGGAGCAGGGGAGTCAGGAAGGGGAGGGAGCACCCTGGGAAGACCAGCAACAAGGTCCCGTTTGTGCATGGCCCGCAGGCGCTGCACAGACGGGTGACCAAGGCGGTGGTGCCAGAGGACGGTGTCGTTCGCCAGAGAGCGACACGAGCAGGGGGCGGACAGCTGACCTGACGCTGACGCAGACGCAGCTACCTGAGGGGACTCAGTGGTCAGTGTGTACAGGTCAGACCCCGGCTCTCGAGTGAAAGTAGCTAGGTGGCGGCCCGTCCGAGCACACGTGCAGTGAGTCACACGCTCGTAGGCAGGGGTGAACTGGTGAACACCCGAGTCCTGGAGCGCACTACCTGCCACCAAGTTCGTGGAGAACGAGGGGAGGTAGAGACCTGAGAGCGTGCCGGACGGAACCGCTGGACACGGAAGGGTGGTGGAGGAGGTCGCAAGGACCGGACCCCCAGAGGGGTCAGCAAGAGAGACAGCAACCGGCCGAGCTAGAGGCTCAAGGACAGTGCGGTCACGAAAGAAAGAGCGAGAAGCACCTGAGTCCAGTGTGAAGGTGTGCAGTGCTGCAGTCGACTCAGTACCAGGGGGCACAGACGCACAAGCACCTAGAGCAGCAGCTGCAGAAGTACCTGCGGAAGCAGACACACTAGCACCTAGAGCAGCAGCGGGGCTGGCCTGAATGCCCGGGTCGGGCGGAACACGCAAGTACTGAGCACCCTCTCCACTAATAGACATCGCATACATGGCAGTGAGAATAGCATCAAAGTCAAGTGCCCAAATATCAACACCCTTCCTGAGCAGATCAGCCCAGCGCGGCAGCTCACCCCCACCAGGAAACTGAGTGCGCCACGCATCGTTGAGGCGGGCGAAGCAGCGCTCCGTCTGGTGCGGCCCCCCACACGTCTGGCCAGTGCGGTCACCTGTACGAATAACGTACTGACAGGTGACGCTGCGCCGCGCATACCACTCACGGGCGGCCTGAAGGGTCGGGGCAGGCTGCTGACTCTGACCGCCCCCCGGGCCTCCACGACCACCACCCCCTCCGCCTCCGCCCCGGCCACCTCCACCCCTGCCGCTGCCACGACCACCTCCGCCTCCGCTGCCACCTCCGCCCCTGTCACCACTCCCAACACCGCTGTCACCTCCACCACCGCCGCCACTAGCCTCTCCAGTCGCACCTCCACCGCCACCACCTCCACCCCCGCCTCCTCCGCCACCACCCCCACTCCTGCCACTCCTGCCCCTGCGTCGTCCGCCTGAAGCAGACGCAGCCCCGACCTTCTCAGCACCAAGGAGGTCGACAGCAGCAGCAGAGGCGACAGAGGGGAGGAGGGGGGAAGGGGAGCACCCCTCGAAGAAGGGGCCGCGGGGGTCGCCACGAGAGGTGCCTACAGCGACGATACTAGCCTCGGCTGCAAGCAGTTCCTTCTCGAGGAGGGCTATGGTGAGCTCAGTGGGGGAGCGAGAGAGGAACTGGTCCCTGACAGGGCGCAGAGAGTCAGGGAGGCGGGTGACAACGTGGTAGAGAGTGATCCAGAGCGGGGGGGGGTTGCTAGCGAGGAACTCATCAGGCATGGCAGCGCGAAAGCGAGCCTCACTAGTCTTAAGGTGGGTGATGAGGTCTGCGACAGTGTGAAAAGAGGCTAGGTCGGGGAACAGGTAGGGGAGAGTGAGGCGGCCTAGTGTGGCAGAAGCGGGTGAGGAGTAGCGGGCCACTACAGCTGTGTAGAGGTCCTTAGCAGTCTTGCACTGGCCGAAGTGCTCGCGCTCATCTAGCGGCAGGGAGTTGCGAATAGCAAAGCGAGCGTGCGCGTCACGGGTCTGCCACTGTGAGCGCTCAGCTGGGGGGGCAGTAGCGAGTGGGGCGGTCGCATGGCCGAGAGCGTGGTCGTACAGTGTAATATCTTCCTTGGCAGTGAGCTGTAGGAAAAGGTGCAGGTCATCTAGCCAGGTTTCGAATTTGACCGGACGGCCCTCGGCGTCGAAAGCTAGAACAGGAGGACTAGCCATAGCGACAGCGGCAGTAGTAGAAGCAGTAAAGTCACTGAACAGGCGTGCGCAGGGTCAGCAGGGCCGGTGGGGCCTACGGACTGTAGTGGCGCACAAGCAGCAGTAGTAGGAAGTGTAGTAGTAGGATCTGCAGTGGTGCACAGGCGCAGCAGGCGGCAGCGAGAGCCGGCGCAGCAGGGGCGGGCTCAGCAGCGGTGATACGCAGGCGGCAGCGGGCGCAGCAGCGGCGGTGCGCGGGCGGCGGCGGGCTCAGCAGCGGCGGTGCGCGGGCGGCGGCGGGTTCAGCAGCGGCGGTGCGCGGGCGGCTGCGGGCTCAGCAGCGGCGGGCCGGGAGCAGTGCGGGCAGCGTGCGGGCCGGCGGCGGTCAGCGCACGAGCCGCGCAGGCTCAGCGCGGGCTGTGCGGGCTGCTCGCGGGCTGCGTAAGCGGGTCGCGGGCGGCTCGCGGGGGTTCGCGGGCAGGTCGCGGGCTGCTCGCGGGCAGTTCGCGGGCTGTGCGCGGGCTGCGCGGGCTGGTCGCGGGCTGTGCGCGGGCGGTTCGCGGGCTGTGAGCGCGGCGCGCTGTGCGGTTCGCGGGCGGCGTGACGGGGCCGATCGGGGCGCTAAGGGGCGACGCGACGGGGGCCGTGAGAGGCCGCTAGGAAAAAAAAATTTCGACGGGGCCGCAGGGCCGCTAGATCGTGCTAGATCGACGGGGCCAGCGGGGCCGGAAACAAGCGAAGGTAAGCAGGTAGGTAAGTCGGTGGGCCCTAAGAACAGTCCTAGCGAAGGACCTGCTCTGAAACCATGTCAGAAATAACTGAGCAGGAATGAATGAACTAGAACAGAGTTTGGTACAAGTAGGAAACCCTAACTTTGTGTACCCCCTAAGGTGTAACCCACTACAGCCTAGACAATATAAACATGCAATGTTTGACAGCATATATATCTCTGCATGTAAACTGGCCTTGTGGCCCTTTGCTTGTGCTCGGAATGTGTGGTGACGTTGTGATCCACCCTGAGCTTGTTTTGCTTCTCTTGACTGGTCGTGTGACCCCTTGTTCTCCCCCACTTTGCCTATGGGGGTGTGTCAAACTATATGTGCTGCATATTGTCTAGGATGTAGTGGGGTACAACCCAATTAGGGTTTACTACTTGTACTCCTACATCCTGCTATTCCTGTTGCTAGATTCTAACAACATTGTATGTCATCATTGCACCGTCGGATCGTTGCGCCGTTGCGTTGTTGCCTCGTTGCGTCGTTACCTCGCTGCGCCGCTCAATCATTACGCCGCTCGATCGTTGCGCCATTGCGTTGTAGCGATTTAACATATCCATAAGCCAGCTAAATCTACTAGGTTATCAATTAATTTCTTTTCCTCTTTAGATTAGCGTCTCTTAGTATTATTTTGTTTTTCTTTGATCGGATTGAACAATCTATTTGTAGAATAATTGGTTTCAATCAGTTTAAAACGGATTGTTAAGGGAATTTATTTGAAATTACTTATACATCTTAACGGTTCAAATTCTCACGATGTCAATCACGATGCCCACGATGCTAGTCACGATGCTCGCTAGTCACGATAATCGCTTGTCACGATGCTCGCTAGTCACGATGCTCGCCGGTCACGATGCTCGCTAGTCACGATGCTCGCCGGTCACGATGCTCGCAAATCACGATGCTTGCTGGTCACGATGCTCGCTGGTCTTGATGCTCACTGGTCACGATGCTCGCTGGTCACGATGCTCGCTGGTCACGATGCTCGCTAGTCACGATGCTCGCTGGTCACGATGCTCGCTAGTCACGATGCTCGGTATTCACGATGCTCGCTAGTCACGATGCTCGCTGGTCACGATGCTCGCTAGTCATGATGCTCGCTAGTCAAGATATTATAATGTTCCAATATTATTACAATGTGCCACATATACTAGCTAGTCTAAAATGGAACATACATTATAATATGTAGTATTTCTAGTAAATGCAGATCCGCCATTGAGTCATTACGCTGCTGCGATTTATTACATCGTATGTCATCATTGCACCGTCGGATCGTTGCGCCGTTGCGTCGTTGCGTCGCTGCGCCGCTCGATCGTTACGCCATTGCGTTGTAGCGATTTAACATATCCATAAGCTAGCTAAATCTGCTAGGTTATCAATTAATTTTTTTCCTCTTTAGATTAGCTTCTCTTGGTATTGTTACAAATAGTAATATTTGATATTACTGTGCACTCCTCACCGTAGCAAAAGGAAGCAGGCAATATTGGGAACGAACGCGAAGCGTTAGACAGCTGGAAACGAACGCGAAGAGTCAGACGGTTACAGCACATCTAGACCGTCGGAAGCAGACGGCATTGCACAGCTGCAGGCAGGATGGATTTGGCGGGAACAGTTACGAAACTGTACGCGCCGCACGGTTGGGGATGTATTTGAATAAGGGAATGTACCCCTTAGGGTACATGGCTAGTTAGGTCTTTTCGTATTCCCTTGTACTCTTATTTATATCATCTTGTTTGCATGTTTTATTATCTCAAGCATTTACATTCACTCAGCTATTGAGGTCAAGGGCCCACCAACATTGCGTGCGAACCTTCCTGAGTAGATCCTGGGCTACGATCAACTTCTGATCGCAGCATGGTATGAGAGCAGCTCGGGAATCCTTCGCACTGCCAGTCCCGAAAATTGCGACATTCGGAAAGTGGCGTCCGGCACACGCTCACGAGTGAAGATGGCCGGAGGATCTGGTGATCAGACTAATCTGACGGCTGAAGCGCAACCCAACCCGGCTGCGACAAGCGAGAACACGACGACGATCGGTTCCGAAGTTCTCGCACAACTTCTTCAGCGACTCACCAGCTTGGAGCAAGGACTCCAAACATTGCGGAATGGCGATGCGGGAACATCCTCGCAACCCTCTCAACCGGCCCCGACTGGCCAGAACGCCACCCCGCAAACATTCTCCCTCGACACCAATGGCTCAACCCCCAAGACTCCCCGTCCCAGCGAAGAGGCAATTCTCTCCGCTCAATCAAGGTTTCTCAGCATATCAAAAATAAAGACAAGTACCTGTTTTGACGGCAGAGACTTTTATACCTGGAGCTTCGAGTTGGAGCTCCTGTTGCAGAACGCCCGAATCTTCCACTATTTTGACGGGAGCTACGCGGAGCCCGATGAGGACACCGACGACGCCAAGGCAAGGTACTACGACGAATCGTTGATGGCGTACGGGGTGCTCCTGCGGAACATGTCGCCGGCGGAGCAGCTCAACATTCGTTCCTACAAGACCTCGGCTGCTCCAGCCCTTAACGCCTGGCGACACCTGACAGGTGTCTATCAGCCCAAGGACTCTGTCTCTTCGAGCCGACTACTCCAGGAACTCCTGGAAACCAAGATGACCGCAGGGAAGAAGGTCAACAACTATCTCAATCGCTGTCGGAGCCTTCGCGATCAAATCGTGAAGCTGGGAAGCACGATTTCAGAGGAAATCTTCGTCAACATCGTGCTTCAAGGGCTCGGCCCAGAGTGGCGGCCCTGCAAGGCGCTTCTCCGACAGCAGGGGGTCATCTCGGAGGCCGCCCTTTGCGCCGCCCTTCTCGTCGAACAGAGGGATATGGATCAGCAGCGACCAGCGCCGCGACAGGAACGCGAACGGCTCGCCTTCTACGCCGACAACACTGAAGAGCGAAAGCCACGGCGCCTCTACTGCAATATCTGCAGAAATTTCGGGCATCTGGCGGATCGATGCAAGAACCGATCCCGCCCTCGCCAGACCAATCCGAGGACCTGGCCCGGCCGTCAAGACGCATGAGGCGACGTGCGTCCAGCCCAGGGGTATCAGCCCCCTTCCGCGCGCAATCTGAACCCAGCGGTTCAGCATCAGCAGCAGCAGTTGTCATCGACTGCCCCAGTTCGCAATGTCATGAGCAACATGGCCATTACAGGCGAGTCGCGTCGTCGCCGTGTCCGCTCGCCTTCACCTGAGCCGGCACCGCACCCCATTGGCGCATTCACCAACAACAATCCGTTCTGTCCGCGCCACGATTTCACCGACGACGACGACCAAGACTGGAATCTTCCAGTCCCGCTGCTTGAAAGTCCCCCTGCACGTACCGGATATGCGGGTGGCGCCACTTGATTGGCTCTCGCGCGAGCAATTTTTGAAGTTCGACACTCCGCACATCGTCACGCCGCGACTGGCGCTGCTCGCCCGTGACGACAACAAGCGCTACAACACCTGGTACCTGGACAGCTGCTGCGGCCAGCATATGGTGGGCTCCGAGCGTTACATATCTAACACCGTCCCCACCCCTGCCGTCACTTACGTCACCGTGGCGAACAACACGCGCCTGCGCGCAAGCGCGTAAGGCATCGTCGTGCTCAAAGCACGCGGGAGCCGCACGCACATCACGCTCAACGATGTGCTGATCGTCCAGAACCTGCGTTTCAACCTCCTGTCCACCGCACAGCTGATGGATTGCGGCGTCGACCTCAGCACGGATCGCGCGACGAGAGATATCCTGCTGCACTATGAGGCGCGCAACTTCCTCCGCAGGCAGATCGGACGAGCACACTCCGAAAATGGAGTGTACGTCCTGGACGTTGACATCCCCGACTGCAGCGGCGATTCGCACGAGCTGATTGACCTCGTGCCACTACGCTTCGCGCACATCCACTGCAGGGACTGGAAGCACCCTGACGGCAAGCCGTGGGTGCCACACCATCCTCACCCACGCGAAACGGCGTTACACAACCCCGACCCCGACGGCATATGCAGGGATTGTCACACGCCGACGACCTCAACAAGCGCGATTGCGGGCCGCGGACTTGCCGCCATCGCTGAAGCAGAGTGCCACGCGCCACCAGAAGAAGGGATGTCGCAGCTCGAGGTCGAGGAGACTACTCGCCGCGTGTTCGGCACCGACCAAAGCCCCCACGCTGGACCTCCCTCCCAGCGGCTCGACAATATCCTGCGCGGACAACGCCACGGAAGCTTGGACTCACGAGGAGTTCCGTGCCCCTACACTC